AAAAAAAAAAAAAAAAAAAAAAAAAAAAAAAAAAAAAAGCAAAAAAACTACGGGGAACAGATTTGCATCATGGTAAACGCCGCAGCCTCGCCTATTAATTTCCACTCAGTTCCCGTCAGCTCAACCGGTTAGCCATCTGCATTCTGCACTCTGGAGCTCCTGTTTCTGTGATCTCGAATACGATTTTGCACCACAGCAGCAATGTGCGGCGCGGGGCGGGTTAGCCAGTGCAACTCTGCCCTTCGCCTTGTGATCCAAGGGTCGAGGAAGGGGCGGAGACGGGCGAGTGACTTGTCCGGCGGAAGGAAAGCCGAGGCAGAAGTGGTTGCAGCGAGGTACCCGCTCGCTGAACTGGCGCCCTTCGTGCAACCCAGCTGAAGGCAGCCTCTCGCCTGTCAATGTCGACAGTTGGGTTACCTTAACGTTACCCTGCAGTGTAATGTATTGTATGTATAATACATACCTCTACACAGTAGACAGGCCACCCTGAGCTATTCGTCCCGAGTCACGTTGTAAACTATACGGAATGTACCCATGCTGCGACTTCCCAACGTGTCTTTGGTCTGGGTTCGCTAGTAGTGTAGATAACGCCCCGTCGGATATGTTGACCGAGCGTCGTTTCCACCCGGCGCCACGACCCACAAGATCTGGCGATGACGATGATGGTCGGTCGAATGTTCAGCGACGCAGATCCAGGGCCCTGCTTGCAAAATGCGGAAGTTTGGGAAATTAGGCGGGGCTCGGTAAGGAATGCAGGCACGGAGATCGCTGACAAGAACATATGTGTACTGTAGGTACAGTACGTGTATGTGCGTTGCATACCGTACTGTGGACATTGTAATCATGTAACGTACGCTGCTCACCCCGATTGTCCATGAGTTTTGCGCCCACCTTTGAATCATGTTCTGACTTTTCCCATAACGTTGATGAGTATTCGATTCTAATGCATCCAATCCGTAGTGGGCGAGATGGTGATACTCTCATGACTGATTTCATCAGTTGTCGCCAAGTAGTGTAGGTCCCTTACTAGGGACCTGTACCCACCCGCGAGTCGAGAAGCAACAGCCGATTTCAACAACTATAGAAATGATTGTCCCAGTATGCCAGTACTCCCCAAACAACCGCTGCGATCCGGCTCTCAGCCGGTAGCGGCAAGGAAAATAACAACGCGAGAGTGTACAGTACCAATACATACGGCACCCTAACCTTGCCTTCACTTCACGATACAGAGCCGTTGGCGTTGACTTTGAGGGCCTGGGACGGCTCAACGCTCGTATCCGAGCTTAAGCAGTGCCAAGAATTTGTTCCTGCTCTAATTAGCGTACTACACCTCGACCACACGAACTCGCACTCGCACAGCATGACCTGACGAGAGACGACACCCCATCTGCAAACCAGGTCCATCTGTGCTTGTTCTGCGTCTGACACGAGTGCCGATTCCCATCCAAATCAACAAGTTTACAGGATCCATGCCTTAATGAAGCAGCGCCGGCAGGCGCGCATGAGCACAGCAGGAACACAGTGTGGTCTGTGCCCATGAGTTGCGAACTTGCGCCTCAATGCTGGGTGTTGATGTGTCCCGTGCGACTGCAAGTAGCAAACGGCTAATACTCGGCATGTCATCGTTAGTTCCCAAGCCCCTGGGATGCGTGTTGTGGAATGTCTCCTTTATTACATATGGACATACTGTGTCAACAGCAAGCAAACCCCGTCGATAAACGAGCTCCTTTTTCCCTCATCACGTTATAACTAGTAGTAAGGAACTTGAGGTTATCCTCCACCTCTCATCTCGTCATGCTGCATGAAGGATCACTGGTTCCAGATTGCTCGCCTGTCGCTTCAGACAGCGCCACCACCGGCTACAGTAACTACACTATGTACCTAACTAACGCCATCACAGCACTCGGCTGATCTCGCCATCTTCCAGTTCCGCCCCCCTGAAGCCGCGAAACCCCATCAGTGTACCTCTCTGTATGTACACGATCACAGTCTGCCTCTATTTTGTCTCCTTTCTATCCTGCATATATATTACCAGAACACAGTTCGGAGTGGTGCAGCAGACCGAGAGCAAACAGCCAACCAGGAACGACACATGCTATGCTATGCCATGCCATGCTAGGCTATGCTATGCTATGCTAGGCTGCCGGCTCTGCTGGCTTGACAAGCTTTGGCTGCACGGCAATCATAAATCATCCGAGATTCGACGGGATCTGATTTAATCTGGCGGCTTCCCCGCCGGGCACAGCACAATCCATGAGGGTTTACATGCAGCTTCCTGGACACTGGTTCGCCTGCTGCGCAATGCTGGCCCGTCCTTTTAGATTACCGTGCATTCGTGACAGAACCAACGGCGTCAGAAACGGGTTCAGCCGACCACTGCGCTCTGCGTTTCAGGGATATTCTCCGGGAGCCTGGTGCGCGCTCGCCCCGACAAAGTGAAGGCCAGGAGCTTTGCAAAAAGGAGGGGATGTTATACTTTTAACCCATTGGCGAGCAAGCAATGCTTGGTGATTACCCGAGCTGCTTTCATCCAACGTAGCCGACTAGACCTGGCTACGGGGACACTGGCTCGTCGCACCTCCGAAAATGGCTGGCTGCATGAGACTATGTATTTGGACACCCTGAACCCCAGAAAATCCTCGGTCCGCAAAGGAAGAATCGTTCAATCCGGTCTACACCTAACCTTTGCGGTACGGATAATACATACACAGTACGTCGCCCCGGCCATTGCATCTCATCTCGGCGTGTTCTTGACCTGGAAATTTTGTCCAGTTCCGCGGATATCAACAGCCGGCACCGCGCACTTGTTCCCACCGTAGCTTTACCGGTCCCCATTGCAAATCCGGTGCCGAGTCCTCTGGGGTCGAAAACAAATCCGTCAGTAAGGTGAGTAGTACTGTAGTAGGCCGACATATTCAGGAGCTATGCACTAATGTCGGCCAGCTAGCCCTCGATAGGGGGCTCCTCCCGGACAGCAGTGAGAACATGGCCAACAAGGACCATTGTCCCATGTTCCCCGATGTGCTCCGCCCGATGATCAACTGGCTCTTATACGGGTCGCGCCGATGAAGCTTCGTCCGATCAATCACTACTGCCGTGCGACTCCAGGTTCGGAGAGGTGCCGCTTTCTGTCGCTTGTGAGACACAATTTGTTGATCAGACCCTCCTGTTGGCGAAAGAATGGGGTCGCAAATGCTAAACCCGCAAGTGCCAGCGGAACACAGATCGCTCGTGCGCTGCGTATCGTCGCACCATCTTCCATTTTAGCACGAATCGAGGAGTGCAAGGATAGGGCCAAGCATAACCCTTGGGCCAGGTATCCCAGTTTCGTTCAGGGGCGAAAACCAAACCAACGTGGGTGTTACACGGACATAAACGTGTGCTAGCTCAACCTGGAATTTGCGCGGATCCTCGTCGATGCTACTCCGTACTCCGATAAATGGACATCAACATGATTGAATAATGGCTCTCGGGAGTTGGGAGAGACAACGAGCCCACTATGGGTTCCAATACAACACCGAGTCACCGCGAGAGAGGCAGGCAGCATCCCTCTTCGTTATCGTTACGCAGCATCGCGACTCGGTAAACTCGCCCAGGAAGCGAACCAACCGATCTGGCTGTTCAAGGCTACCGCAGTAACCGCAGAGAGTTGGCAGGATGAATTGCATCTTTTCTATTCGTGGAACATCTTGCAGGTCTGAACCTGTTGGCTCTTTCTCTAATTTAATCGTCAAGCCCTTGTATCTTCTTCACGCTTCTTGTGGCACCCTCTTCGTTGTTTTTTGTTTCCTCCCCAGATAGACCCAAGATAGCCAGC